CCCCCCCCCCCAAGACAATTTCCCCCAGACATTTCCTCGCCTTGGCCAAGGACAGGCAATTTGATTAAGGGGGAATGATAAAACAATTAAAAGTGACAGTTACTTCCGGAAAGGAACACCTGGATGAGTGAGAGTATGTGTTTAACCCACTTTAACTAGAGACACTTTTTTTTAATGCGCACATTTTTTTTTACTTATTATCACAATTATCATTCACATTATTATATTCATTATAGGAGAGGGGAATTGTCTGGGGGATGCGGGGTTGTCCAGGGGGAATTGTCAAAGGATGTGTGTGTCCTGATACCCTTTATGTAAAGTTGATAACTTCTTTTTGGATACGATGCCACTAAAATCGAGCTAATTGGAAGTACAATAGCCCAAACACATACATGTATTTAAGAATGAAAAGGTTGCTATCTTTATTTGCAAATGAAAATAAAATAATGACATTGGCCTTGTGAACGCCAATGATTCTAAAAAATATTAATACTTCTGAATAAATTGATTTTGTGCTCAGGGTGCACGGGGGAAGCCGACATCGTATTTCTTGTGCATTCCTCAAACAGTCTGGGGAACAGTGGATTTCGACAAGAACTAAATTTCGTGCAGCAGCTTATAGTAGGGTTCGATATATCCCCTGATTTGGTGAGGGTTGGACTGGTGACATTTTCATCTTCCTCTGAGCTACGGTTCCCGTTGAACAGATACCAAGATGTCCAAGGGCTACTTAAAGCAGTCAAGGCAGTACCTTTCAAGAAAGGCAATGCAGCAACGCACATGGCTTTCTTACGAACCAGGGCCCAGGTATTCCAGCGAGGCTCGGGAGATAGACGGAACGTCACCAACGTTATTGTCCTTTTGACGGGTGAGCAATCCAGATTTCCAGACAGAACTTTGACGGGCGCTCGCCAACTTAAGAATGACGGTGCAATCATCTATGCAGTCGGAATCGGCGATAAGGTATGACCCTTTACCCTGAGAGTTCTTTGATTTTTTAATGGTTACATGTATTTTTGTATCGCCATCTATCACTATAAACGTACCCCAATGTAACTTTTAGTTTACTTGTCAAAATACACAGTGCACAGCATTTAGCTTATAATAGATTCTTGGTGAGCATACTAAATCCTCCCTCAAAATATTCAAAAAGGGAAACTTTAAAAGCCAAAACATACAAAATATTTTACCCACCCACCCAATATATATACTTTCAGGGGATGGGGAGTTGTATTTTTTTCTTTTAAAATCGGTACATTGTTCTCACTTGTTTCTCCTTTCTAGCTGGATAAACAGGAACTGTCAGCAATCGCTTCTGATAAGGACACACTCTTCACGGTGGACAGTTCAAGCCAGCTACTTGGACTTAGAAACAAACTTTTGGCTGCCATCTGTACCAGCAAAGAGACACCGGGACTTAGTTTAGCTATACCAGGGCAAGCTACAGTTGGCCCGGGAACAACAACAGCTTACGTGCCTCCTCTAGCTGTCCATATAGATGGTGAGTTCACTCAGACCACAGAGGGTCAGATTCACTAAGCAAGTGTAATAACCGCTAATTTATATCACTTATCTCCGGTATATGTTAAAACGTAAATGGTTAAGTATGAAATCAATACCCAGTTGTATTTCAGTATAATTGAATTCGTGTCAAAATTGAATAATATTAAATATGTGATAATTTTGACTGGAAACATTTGTAATGTTGAAAAAAAGATGATTACAAAAGTGTTTTATTCAGATTTTTGCGGCAAGTGTGTTGTCAATGGTGGTCCTCTAACAGAAAATGGAGCCGTTGGATACATATTCGATCCGTACAGCTGTACATCATACTGGATGTGTGAGAGACGGCCCAACAGGGGCCTGGACGGCTGGATGTATACTGTCATTGTTCGCAACTGTTCCATTGGAACCGTTTGGGATCAAGATAGCCAAGCTTGCATCCGCTGTGACGATCCTCAAGCTGTTTGCAAAGGCACCGCACCCAAGCCACCGATGGGTTCCTCGCATTGTCCTTTTCGTGAGTGTTTTTGTTGATTATAATCAAGAATAAACCTTTGCATTTCTAAAAGCGATTTTAGTATGACTGGTTAATTATCAGTAAACGTAAAAATTAGCCCCATGGATCTAAAACTTAGTATAAAAAATAGTTTTTTAATATACACAAATGAGGACAGAGCAGAAGACAGACAAGGAGTTAATGGTAATTTCATTGTCCTTTTTTATTTCAGTCAAGCAACAGCCAAAATTGGAACTCTTGCTAACTGACATTTAATTGTTCTTTCCTCTAATTTGTTTTAGCCGACCATCAGACTGGACTAAGGCCCACAAAATCTATGTACACGTGGGGCGGTAAGGCACAGTCACTTCCCAACCAGTAGAATTTGATTTTTGTGTATTAGTTTGAAAATATCTCACTATCGTATTGTGAGTGGCCAATGGCCAGTTCTGAATTACGGAATTATGGAAGTGTGGACATAAATTCCCATGCAGAATTTGTGTTCTTATTTATTTACTTACTTTATTTATTTTCTTACTTTTCTTATTTTGTTGAAAGTAATTTTTATTTGTTTTTGTGTCCATTTGTTTTATTCTTTCACCATTCTTTAAAAAAATCCTTAACACACTGTCTTTAACGTTTCCAGAAAGTTGCACCGACTCTGTTGGAAACACCCTTACATCTGTTGTTGAAGATGAACAGATATATTACATATTACAATATCCACGGGCCCCTGTAGGGCCGGTGTCCTGTTTTCCACACAGATTTAGCCTAAGCCGCTGTGGATGTGAAGCCCCTGGTATGACCTGTCTTCTGTTTTTAAGGGGAAGTGCAAGTTTCGATTTTGGAACTAAATGTGTCAGAAAATGTAGTATTGCCTTTGAAGATTATAGTTGTATCAATAACAACATGGAAATAAGTTGGGAACAACAGATTGTGATATGTGACTCGTTGCCTAAAATGGCAAAATATGTATACCTGTCAAGTGTTATTCAATGGATTATGTTTCATTTACTTTCCTTTCTTTCAGTTTTTAGCTCCATCATTTTTCAATATGAGGACGATTATGCTTCAATAGGGAAGACCGCGTATTCTGAGCCAAATGATGTTGCCCATGCTTCACTGTGTGAGAATACTATTGAAGTTCCCGATATGGCCAGGGTGGGGGATGGTGCTCTGTGTATCGATGAGTTCGGTAAGATGCTATTTATTGCCTTTGGAAAAAGCAAGAACTAATGTGGATGATAGAGAGAGGGGGGTATAAAAGGCTTAAGTGTAATGCATTGAGTTTTCTTGATTTATCCTCTTCAGGTCATGTTGAAATCCCTTATTTCAAGAACAACCCCCCTGACTATCCATTCACCATTCATTTCTTCTACTGGCTGGATGAGGATGTGAACACAGAGGGAAGGAGTATTGCACTACTCAACAACGGCAAGTGCGACATCTTACCGACTGTTGAAATCTATTTCGAAGAAGGTGGAGTTGGGGTTTATATGGAGACAGAGGACGGATTTTACGATATACCACCACAGTATGTGGTACGTTTTTATCCTCTCTCTCTCTTCTCTCTCTCTCTCTCTCTCTCTCTCTCTGACACACACAAACACACACACACACATCGCATACAGGTGCACACACATATCCACACATCATTTCACTAAGACACAAGAGACACATTTTTGCTTTATAATAAGTTACTAAGTGGTGTATTATTAACTGATTTGTTTCAGGAAGGTGGGGGACAAGGGGCCTGGGTGTGTGTTGCCGTGACATACGATGGAGATTACATGGCGTTGTATTTAGAGGGCGAAGAATCTGAAGCTGTAGAGGCATCTGGTAAAAAGAAAACAGATAATGTTACTACTTCTTCTAAATGATAGAGTGTACCCAATGCACAATAGAATCTGTAGTGAATGAATTTTAGCAGTTTTGCGTTCATAGCATACTTATATATTCAAGTAGTTCACATTCGTCACAACATGTAAACATTTTTCTTATATTTTTATTATCTCTTTGTAAATGAAACTGTGTGAGAATACTATGTAAATAGCAAATGACACAGCCTAATGTTATACTTTCAGTAACCCGCAGTTTCAGTCTTATATCCCATATACTGTAAATCATTAAGCCTCTTTTTCCTCTCTTAGGTGATATTGTTGCAACAGAATCCGCCTGGATTCTAGGAAACAGTTACTATTATGAGGACGAGTATCTGTACGACGATTATGACCCAAGTTTCGAAGGACGATTTGACGAGGTATGCAGAAATTTTACACACACACATACACACAGAGAGAGAGAGAGAGAGAAGTGTAAAAGATTCGTAAACAAGATAGAAGTTACCAAGATAATAATGGTTGTGGTGAAACAATATGTTTCTCCTTTCATAATTTAAAGTATTTATTATTTCAGGTGTCATTTTATAACAGAGTACTCTCAGCCGAGGAGATTGGGGAATTATGTTCACAATAAGGGCCAAGACCAGAGCCCACTTGAGAATGATTGACAGCTGACAAGGATAACTCATTCCATCCCAATTCACGTTGAACATTACCCCAAACTAAGTTCTTCCATTCATCAGATCAGTGATATATACATCCTATAAAAACTTTCCAGCCAAAGCATATTAAAAACAAGAGAGGTATAAACGCATTATACATACAACAACGTGTCAGCTGTCTGGATGCCAATAAATTAGGATACAGGGCGGTCCTTCTCAATTTTGTTCTTCAAACGTTGCGTCTGGTATCGGCACTCTGGATGATATTTGAAAATGTGTTTTATATGGTGATATATGCACAAACAAGTGCCCAGCGTCTACTAAGCAGGTTTAATTGAGATTCTGATTTCAGTAATTAAATGAAACATTCTGTCTGTTCACTACCGTGTAGAAGTTAGCGGTATGTTAATTAGGTATAAAATGTAGTCACGCTTGTTTTGATCAAATAAAGACGAAATAAATGACTGAATAAAGACTGAAATGTGTGGTTTGTACCTTTATGTCAACAAAATGACTGCCCTTCGGTTTTAAATTGTTACTGGTACTACCAGATTTTTTATGCATGCAAGACCATTTTCTGTTGATACACTTAAAGAGATAACTTGTGAAATTAGATTCAAAATTCTAAAATAAATACATTGTAAACAACAACAACAACAACAACAACAACAAAATATATATATATATATATATATATATATATATATATATATATATATATATATATATATATNAATACTGTGTGAGAATACTATGTAAATAGCAAATGACACGGCCTAATGTTATACTTTCAGTAACCCGCAGTTTCAGTCTTATATCCCATATACTGTAAATCATTAAGCCTCTTTTTCCTCTCTTAGGTGATATTGTTGCAACAGAATCCGCCTGGATTCTAGGAAACAGTTACTATTATGAGGACGAGTATCTGTACGACGATTATGACCCAAGTTTCGAAGGACGATTTGACGAGGTATGCAGAAAATTTACACACACACACACACACACACAGAGAGAGAGAGAGAGAGAGAGAGAGAGAGAGAGATTTCCAAGTGTAAAAGATTCGTAAACAAGATAGAAGTTACCAAGATAATTATGGTTGTGGTGAAACAATATGTTTCTCCTTTCATAAATTAAAGTATTTATTATTTTAGGTGTCATTTTATAACAGAGTACTCTCAGCCGAGGAGATTGGGGAATTATGTTCACAATAAGGGCCAAGACCAGAGCCCACTTGAGAGTGATTGACAGCTGACAAGGATAACTCAGTCCATCCCAATTCACGTTGAACATTACCCCAAACTAAGTTCTTCCATTCATCAGATCAGTGACATATACATCCTATAAAAACTTTCCAGCCAAAGCATATTAAAAACAAGAGAGGTATAAACGCATTATACATACAACAACGTGTCAACTGTCTGGAGGCAAATATATGTTAGGATACAGGGCGGTCCTTCTCAATTTTGTTCTTCAAACGTTGCGTCTGGTATCGGCACTCTGGATGATATTTGAAAATGTGTTTTATATGGTGATATATGCACAAACAACTGCCCGGCGTCTACTAAGCAGGTTTAATTGAGATTCTGATTTCAGTAATTAAATGAAAATGAACACATTCTGTCTGTTCACTACCGTGTAGAAGTTAGCGGTATGTTAATTAGGTATAAAATGTTGTCACGCTTGTTTTGATCAAATAAAGACGAAATAAATGACTGAATAAAGACTGAAATGTGTGGTTTGTACCTTTATGTCAACATAATGACTGCCCTTCGGTTTTAAATTGTTACTGGCACTACCAGATTTTTTATGCATGCAAGACCATTTTCTGTTGATACACTTAAAGAGATAACTTGTCAAATTAGATTCAAAATTCTAANTTCACTACCATGTAGAAGTTAGCGGTATGTTAATTAGGTATAAAATGTTGTCACGCTTGTTTTGATCAAATAAAGACGAAATAAATGACTGAATAAAGACTGAAATGTGTGGTTTGTACCTTTATGTCAACATAATGACTGCCCTTCGGTTTTAAATTGTTACTGGCACTACCAGATTTTTTATGCATGCAAGACCATTTTCTGTTGATACACTTAAAGAGATAACTTGTCAAATTAGATTCAAAATTCTAAAATAAATACATTGTAAACAACAACAACAAAAAAAAAAAAAAAAATATATATATATATATATATATATATATATATATATATATATATATATATATATGTAATTAATTATATTTTACCTCCAAAATGGCGGTTATTGCCATTATTATGAAATTCTGTGCTTGCCATTAAACCGTGTGGACCTTCATAGATGACTAGCTAGATCTCTTAAGAGATTATTACGTAGGGTGACCATCTATGAACGTCCCGGTCATCCCAGGAAAATTCGTCTCTTAAGAGATTATCACAAAACACACTTAAAAACGAATCTAGTAACTTCAAATATCAGAGCGTATTTATCAACCATTGGTAAATATGGAAAAATCATCTTTTACCCCAGGAAAATCCATAATGGCACTTTTCCCGCCAAAATGAAGAGTTGTTATCCCTTTAATCCATATTCGAAATTAGGTATTTTGATGCATATTAATGGCTTTTGGTGTGGGCGTTTGTTTAGAAAGACATTTCAAACGTTTTGAAAAAGTGAAACCAAGTTCGGTTTGGAAATATATGAGATTTAATTGAATCCCAAAATCAACATTACAATTGCGTTTTCGTTCGTTATGAAACGAGAAATTTTAATGTATGTATGTAATGTATCTAACACTTTTAGTGTGACCTACTGATATAATTTTAGATAAAATAGCAATTGCATGTTTTTTGTATTCCATCATCACTAGTTTTTTAATTTAAATCTAGATAATTGGCATCAGCAGCACTGTTAGAGACGACAAAGTGGTGCCCCCTGGCTTATAATTTGTCAAAGAAAAAACATATCCCCATCTACTGTATCTACTGTACTTTGCATTTTAAGTCAAAGTTTCAGTGAAATAGTTTCAACTACAATGGCACGGGTCATCGTAAAGGGTCAATAGTCGAAATAATGTTTCAGCAGTTTTGTCAAATGAAATGTGTTTTAGCTTTACATTGATGGCCCTTTCGTGTTCTTGGGTATTTGAAAATTTATTTGAGTTTTTTTTTACCTAATTTAACTTAATTGGCAAGATTGAACCGTACACTTAAATTAGAATTCAATATCTAAATTATACCATGCAGTGCAGTCAATTGTAAAAGATTAAATTTTTATTGGGAGAGTGCAGTCATGGCTACTTAAAGTATTAAAATGAGAACCGTAAACGCGTTTCAAGCATGCACGAGAACCTACACGCGTCACTGGCAATCATCCGATTGGTCACCCAATGAAAAGCATTAACCTTATGAGTCCTGCAATGGTTCAAAGGTCATAGAGTAAAATTCCTGTAACCAATTAGTGTCTAGGCGTAGACGGCCCGATGGGGACAGATAGTCCTCTGGGGACAGATAGACATGACTGACGTTATTAAAACGCTTTATTTGTGAATTCCATATAACAGCAGTCCAATGTCTACCAGAATATACATAAATCATTGTACATATTAGCAAATACCATGACATCAGTGAGTTCAGTTTTCTTTTGAATTGCTTTCCACACGTTTAAAGAGCGCCAAAACCATTCCTGAAAAATGCTGTGTCGAAAACGAAGGCAAAAGTAACACGGCCATTCCATTTGTTTTTCAACCCTGCTGTGATATGTTCCTGGTTGTCAGAACTGCTTTAGAATCATTTAGTGAATTTTGGAAAGAAAACAAAAAAGTGGCATCTTCAAATTACACGTTTTACGTTGTTAAAAGGCTACTTATTGATGTTACAGTCACACTCGATAACTAAGTTGTACTTTTGTTTGTTAATGACTTCCCCGCAGGCGATATAACTTTTTGTTTTTTAACTTTTTTTACTTTTAAGTTGCCTTTTTATAGTCTGGACTACTTTAAAGAGGTATCCTGTTTGGCGAATTTAGCCCATAATTCCGGATGTAATACGGTACTAGATACCTGAGGACGAACAAAAACATTTTTCCATATCTCAAGTAGAACAGAGGAATGAGACGTGGGGGGAGGGGGGGGCACAGAGGAAGGACAAAGTGCAGTGAATTGTTTATAAAATTTGGAGAGATGAATTGATGGTCTTGAGACACATTTCCTCAAGTAATGTTTTAATCATCTTTAATGGAATTATAGACCCCATAGCAGTTACCATATATGACATTTAGACACAATAATTGGCCCATTAAGGTGTCACCAATTATCTGCTCTATTTCTCGTAAAGCTCAGCGCCTCGTAATTTATCTATACCTTAAATGACTGTAATTAGAAAAGATAGTTCAGAGGATTGGAAGGAACTTTCACCAAGCACAATATCCCTCAGGTATGTGGTCAAACATGTGGGCGCATTTACGTTACCATTTTATTTTATTATTTAAGAAATCAGTTAAAGATGGAGGGATATGTTTGAGAGTGAAGTGCGTAGGCCTATAACTTCTTTCGTCCTAATGTTCATGTCAGAAAAGGCCATTTCATGTAAACAAAAAAATTTGTTTAGATCAGTCCTAAATTGCTTATTCATCATAGTATTTTGAGCTTATTTGATTTTAAGTACAAAGAGTGAAAACGCCAGCATTAAATTAGTCAACATTCGGACAGCTAGCGATTGAAAAAATTGATTCAATTACTCCAAGTGAAATTATGATACTCTCCTCCCAGCAAGAAATACATGTATGAATTGATTCCTTGAAATTCTGTCCATAGCAAATGATGTTGTTTTTGATGACAATTCTGAAAATATATTATCTGTGTCTGTGCGATACATCCTTTTTCAGTTTTACCCAGATGTATATAAATAATAATACTGTTTGCACAATTAGTTCTTACGTGTGGTATAGGAAAAAGGACATTCCTCGCTTGTCTTTAAGACCTTTCTGTTTTTTAGTCAAAATATTAAAATATTAAATATATTGATTAAACTTCAATTAGCATACTGATCAAATGAACATTTTAATGAAGGACGAATGTGATTGCCCTGTGATGAATCTATTTCTTTTATTTACTTCCCTTTAAAAGGAAGTAAAAAATTCTTAAACTATTTTTCAATAACATTTTTACATTAACTTTTGGTGAATAGCTGAGAATCAAAATAAAGCAATTGTCATATTCAATTTGTGAATCTGTTAACGCATTTTTCCTTTTTTCAGAAGCCACTCAATGTTGAAACAGGTGTTGTGCCTTGCCCTAGTGGCACTTGCAGCAGCCCAGAATGTTGATGGTGAGTTCATCATTTTGATATTTGACAGTTAAATTCAAATGTTAGGCCCCACGCATAACTGAGTAAGTACACTGTGAAGAGAAGAAGAAAACTGATCTAACGCTTTCTTCTCATTTGTAAATGATCTCACCTCTCTCGATTGATGCTTCTACCATTTGAAGCACAGTTTATTTTACAAAGCGCATTGTTCTTTAAATGAGTATTGTTCACTATCGGTTCATTTTGTCAATAGAGCAGTGTGGGACGTGCGTGGTGGATGGCGGTCCTTTGACAGAGAATGGTGCCGTTGGCTACACTTACGATCCTAACGACTGTGGCGGATACTGGGTGTGCATTAGGCGCAGTGAGAGAGGTGACGATGGTTGGATGTACACTGTTTTCACGAAAAGCTGTGCACCTGGAACTCTCTGGAACCAGAAAGTTCAGGCCTGTAGCCGGTGCGACGACGAGGCAGTAACTTGCGAAAACTCTGGTCCGAAACCTCCCCTTGGCTCTGACCAGTGCGACGGATGTAAGCATATTGGACCGCATTCCATATGATAATACACTTAACAATATTGTGGAGATTATAAAAAATATGAACGGTTTTTATTATCTGTGTAAGAAAATTGATAATGACGTTTATGATGTACTGAAACTTCACTTCCATTATGATTTTAGACGTAGACGGTACAACGCTGCCTCCTCTGCCTCCAGTGGAACAGCCAGACCGTGAGTATTATCATTTTTAACATCTCTTTTTAACTGGCTTTCAATTGTTGGGGTTAAGAAGATAAAATGTATATTCTCACTAGATACATGATAAATATCATTCTCCTACAAATAGCCTTATGGTTAATTTTTGCTAACCTTTTTATCTGCATTAATAATGTATAAAGATTTTGAAATTCCAAAGATAGTGAAACTTTGCCAGCCACGAAAAACAGATATACATTGATTGAGTGCATCCATTTTACTTACAGAAAACTGCACTGACGATGCCGGTTTGATGAAGTCCTCAGTAATTGGTGAGGCAAGCAAATTCTTTATCCATTATCCCAACCACGATCCTCTTGGTCCAATTTTCTGTGAGCCTTACAACTTCAGCCTGTCGCTTTGCAGATGCAATGCCCCTGGTACGTATTTTTTGAAAAGTAACTCAAACATTTATATAAAATTAAGAAAAAAAAATTAATCCAAATAACCTTAGACAAATAGAGCCAAAAAGAATTAAATTCGGGCTATATAACAAGAGGACCAAATATTTGGGTTAACACGTCATGGCACATGCCAAATTGCTTATTTTCGGTTCTTTTAAGAATATGATGGCGTCGATTTCGGCTTCGAGGGCAGCTTCTATGCTGCAGGCAACATTGCGTTCTCTGTACCAAACTCTCGTCGCAACGTGTACTTCGTCAACGAGTCCCGGGTTGGAGACCAGTCCGTGTACCTTGATGGCATGGGTAAATAATGGTTCTGTTAACTTTTAAATTTTTGACAACACTGTTAAAGCATGTTGTTCGCGTTATCGCGTAAATAATCTAATATTAAGGACTGTTGAACATTAGATAGATGACCGTATTAGTTTTTTTCATTTCATATCACTTGATACCTAAAACTCTATATTATGTCTCAAATCTGTATGTAAAAAATCATGGCACCTTACGTTGATGTTTTGACCGAACAACAATGAACCGACTTTTTCAGGACACATTGAGTTTCCCCTTTTCAAACAAAACAGCCCAAGGGCACCTTTTAGTTGCGCTCTGTGGTTCTATGTGGATCCCATGGTCAGTAATCAAAGAAAAGTGGCTTTGGTCAACAATGCCAAGTGTCACATCGCACCTACCTTTGAGTTGAGCGTGCAGGGTGGAGAGGTAGTTGTAACCATTGTGACAGACAACGGGACTTTCTCAGCAAGCGGACAGTTGGTAAGTCTGAACACTTTTGACCAACAGTAAAAATATATTATATGATTCAATAACAAATAACATGAGTACATATTTGAAGTTCAATGCTTCTCTGTGTGGAATACCCTAAATTAGTGTGTTCGAAATGGGATATTGGCTGCTTCAATGCAACGTTTTCTGTTGGCTTCAGGGCGGAGCTTACCAGGGTGAGTGGCACCACGTCCGTGCCTCTTACAATGGCGCCATACTTTCACTGGTCCTTGACAATTCTTTGGCCTCTGAGGTCCCTGCAGACGGTAAGTTTAATTACTGAATAACCATTCGCTGTAATAAATATACACATGTGCAATAATGTTCTTCCTTTTGTTTTCTTTAAAATATTAAATATTTATTATTAATTATTTTTAATTAATTAATCTATGTTTTACACTTACATGACGTTTAAAGATTTAGGAAAACAACGGTGTTTTCTGAAAATTGTTTGGGGCAAGTGTTCTAATTTTCGAATCCTGACTTTTTCTGCTGCTGTTCATTTTGTTTGTCACGATGCTCGGTTACATAGTAAAGTTTGATTGCAAAAAATATCGCATAACTCTAGGTGATTTGTTGAGCAATGAGGCCGCATGGGTCGTTGGCTTGAACTGTTATCAAGATACTCAGCAAGGGGGACCTTCATCTTCTCTCACTGGAAATGTGGACCAGGTGAGCATCCTAATAGACCATTTACTATTTTTAGTGTCACATTTATGCTGAAACTAAATGTTTCTCGTTTTTTTAAGATACCAAATACTGAATAGTTAGATGAAGGAAATGCGAACAATTTTATGCTTATCAGTTTCTCTCAAAACCACAGTGCGTGATGTAAAATTCTCTGTCATCCCCAGAAATGCACTGCATAACGTCACGCCTAGCCCACTGCGCATGCGTGCATTTTTAATGAGTTGCTAGATTGCCATAGGAAAATGAATGGGTTCGCGATTCGTGGGTAATTCGTGAGAATTGACAAACTAACGGCCTGATGCCGATAGACAGAAACGCTGTGCTATGCTTCAAGCAACTCCTGACCAAATATCGCTAGGGTTTTTTAAAAAATTCTGTTGTACACACGTACTAAGAAGTTTGCCGTATATTGCCTAGCCTATACCCTCAGCAAAACGCAAATATTTTCAGTAATAGTGATTTTAGACGGTAAATTCACTCAGAAACAAAGGCAAATTAATTCGTTGCCGATAGCACCAGCAGATAGCAGCACCATACAGAGTCTGATGAAAAACTTTCATGGCAATTGAACATTTTTTACCACTGTACAATGGCGTCCAAATACACACACTGGACAAAAGAAGTGTCACCCCCTAACTCAGAGTAATAAAAGTAGGCAGATCTTGGGTACTTATAATGCCTGGTCTACTTATAATGTGACTAATGAGTATAAAACCGCTATACCATGGAATTGTATTGTTGGTCTTGTACATGTACAGCAAATGTTATTCCTGTCTTCCTCCAATATGGCAAGATACAGGCAATTATCTAACGGTTATAGGTGCAAGTTATTAACCTGAAGAGGCGGAATATAAGCAATGTCAGAATATCGTTACAATTGAATTGTTCAGTCAGAACCGTGCAGAGGGTCTGATCTCGGTATAGAAACACTGGATCAAGAGACAAATTGCCTCTGATGGGTCGTCCAAGAAAAAATACTGGCCGTGAAGACCGACGACTGATTTTGATGTCCAGGTTGTCAAAGTTCGACACTGCTTGTCAGTTGACAACACAGTGGAACAATTTCACACATAAGAATGTGTCTGTGAAAATTGCTAGGCGTCGGTTACATGCTCAGAGAGTGTACAGCAGGGTAGCAAGACTGAAACCTCTTATATCGTTACAAAACAG